TGAGCTTTATCTCTAGCCCTGTACATTCTTACCTTGATTAGATATAGACATACTGTGAAGTTAAAATTAAATTGTAAATTAACTGTTTTTACTTTAAAATGCATTATGTCTAATATAAAGCAACCTAATTTGAATTTAAAGTAAAAGACTCTAGAGGTATGATTCAATGGTAGAGTGCCAGTTGGGCATCTTGTACAAGATCCTGTGTTCTATCTCCAGCATGCCCCCCCTCCAAAAAAAAAATTAGTTTTGTCCAAGATTAAAAGAGGTATTAAGGATTTTCCTCTTGTGTTTTATGTTGATAGTTGTCATAGTTTTGCTTTTCTTCTGTCATTCATTAAAAAAAATTAGGCCAAAATATCAGTGGATTTTACTTTCTAAGAAAGCAGTTTTGGACTTGGGATGCAGCTCAGTGGTGGAGTGCTTGCCTAGTATGTGTCCTGGGGAATCCCCAGTACCACCATCCAAAAACAAAAAAAAGGGGGGGGCAGGAGGGTGAGCCAGTTTTTATCTAGGTAGACTTAAAATGGATTTGGAAAGGGATACCCCTTTTCAAATGACTTTAAAAAAAAAAACACATTGTGCCTTTAGCTTATGAAACCTGAATTTATCTTTATTCCTGAGTTCTATTTATAATTATTGTTTAAACATTTTAAAGAGCTAGTATAACAGGATAGTAGGAATTACCAAAAATTTCCCTGAATCTTATAAAAGTAACCCCCCCCCCCAGAGGTTATAGTAACATCTGGATCAATGCTTAGGAAAGGCTACCATTAAGTGATTTAATCTTGTACATTATCAACCAAAAGTAGACATTCACCTGTTTATTGAAAATCTTAAGTCTAGCTATTCTTTCATTTCACAACCATTGAATATTTGTTTCAGGGGTAGCAATGTAAAGTTTTGTAAGTCATAGTCATTAGATATCATAGGAGGCAACGGTAGACTATAAATATAAGTGATGTGGCTAGGGTGGTGGCTCAGTGATAGAGCACTTGCCTAGCATGTGTGACGCACTGGGTTTGATTCTCAGCACTGCATATAAATAAGTAAAAGGCCCCTTGGCAACTAAAAAAAATTATTTAGAATAAATAAATAGAAGTTATATTTATCAAACTAATCTTCCAGAAACAACATTGGCATTTGAAAGGTGTTCTTTGCTCCTAATAAACTATTCCGCTTATAATTTCAACGCATGAATAATGTGTATGATTTAGATTACTCCAGGATAGAGAAGTTTGTGAAATGTGTGTATTAATGGCTTTTTAGCTAAGATTAATGTCCATTGGATATGATCAAAGTAGCTTGATTTTAAGAATTTTCACCCATGTACTTCTAATTTTTATTTAAAGAAAATATAAAAATTTGATGAGTGACTAAGTGTGTATGAATCAAAAGAAAAAAAACGTGGTTTCCTTGTATATTTTTTGCCATTTATTAAAAACTCAAGCCTTTAAATGAAAAATTCCTGGTCAGGGCTGAATTAATAAACCATTCTCTGAATTATTTCTTAATAGACATATAGATGTTGCTTGACTAAAATGGAATAGGTTTGGGGCTGGAGGTTTATGTCAGTGGTGGAACACTTGTCTAGCATACTCAAGGTTCTGGGTTTGATCCTTAATCCCCTCTCAATCCCCCCTCTCCCACCGAAAAAAAAAAATGCAATAATTTACTAACAATATCTTTTCTCCTTCCCTGTAATCCATAGATTCCTTTAGGATCCAGGTGTTTCATTCTCCATTATGACTCATGAAACTGATTAGTATCCATTAATATGCATTTTTGTCAGCAGTCTTAACCACACTATTACATTTTGACAGGATTGAGTGCTGAGGTGATTTTTTTTTTTTTGAAGGAAAACATTGGTAATTGTTTTTTTTTTTTTTTTTTGAAAAAATAAAATAAAAACATCTCAGGGTTATATATCATCAGGATACATGATGTAACCCGATGACTTTTCAACCTTTTCAGCTCTTCCTTCTCCATTTACTATTTTTCACCTTAAACATTTCCTTTTTAAGTAGTTTTAAGACCTATAACTACTTCTGGAACAGTCAGTATGGGAGAACTGAGGTTAACACACAGTACTGGATATAATTGCAAAGACAATCCTGCTTGAAAAGCTAATATAGAATATTTCCATATAAATCCATATAAAGTATAAATGTGGATACTAAGACAAGAAATATTTTCCTCTAAGGCCTTACAGCTAGAGAAGTAGTCCATCTGATGTTGAATGCAAGTGGGTGTGATACCAGAACTGACATTTTAACCACCATTCTACTGTCTTCTGGATTTACTTGCTCTATGCAGTCTTATTAGGTAAATATCATTGGGCTTCTTTGAAATACTGAAAAACTGGGATATTACTAACTAGGTGGTTAGGCTAACCATTTCTCCAGTTCAGAACTGTAGGGTGGGGCTAATGACTGGTTTTGTATAAAAAAAAGAGCATAAAGATTTTATGTTGTGATATTATAATTGATTTTAGCCTCTAAGTAGCTCAGAAATTTTCTTTTTATAAATAATGTACTATCAATCTAATCTTCATTTAGTGAACAAATGACTTTAAAGTAGTCAGTTTTTCAAATTTTTATTTTTGTACTTGTGACTTGTTTGTTTACTAAACATTTTAAGATTTCCTTTTACCAGTATCAGATTATCTCCTAGAGTTTTTTAGGATTTGTGTTAAATTATTTTTAATAAATGGAGGCAGGCTGTTATATTTTATCTGCAACTATTATGGTTTTACATGGAATTCAATTTTATCATCTTAACTTTTTCTTTCCAGATTGGGAGTTCTTATTCCTTGAAGGTAAAGGCCACTTTATTTCTGTGAATACTTCTTAGTTGCCCTGTTTGTACCTTCCTGCTTTCTTTTATGTCTTCAGAGTGGCTACTTACTAGAAGCTCATGAAGGTTAGGTGTATTTATAACCATGTTTGTCTGTAGTGTTGATTGTCTTTTCTATAATGCCTTCCTGATTAGGAAGTGGTCATTATTATTCCCATTTCACTTTATAACTCATGTGATTTACCTAGGCTAGGGTTATGGAATAAAGATAAAACAGAACTAGAACTTCCTGATAACTATTCACTCACCTTAATTCCTAGAGAAAACCTATAGTGATATGCATAAACAGAGGTAAACAGTACCCTGATGTACTTTGGAAAAATCTGTTCTGTGATAGTAACAGTCTGTATATGTACATGTGTGTATATATATGATTAATAAATATCCAGGATAGCAGAACTGGGACTTAATGACCAGAAAATATTAAAACAGACTGGCACTAATCATAATTAGCAACAAAGATTAACCAGCCAACTTCAGAATTCCAAATAGCTAGCTAACAAGGTATCCACAGTTTTGCAGTTCCATCTAATTGTTTTGCCTAGGAAATTTGTAATTACCGATTCATTGCTATTCAAAGTCAGTGTACTAATAATACCAATAATCTTCAGGCCATTTCAGTTGCCTTTTTGCTCCCAATCACTTGATTTCTGACACAGTAGTAGTAAAGCCCTCAAAACTTCTAGCTTTTGAATTGTTTGAACCACAATTCTATATCTTTCCTTGTCCTGGGTAATGCCTCCTTTCTGTGTAATACTTTTGTCCTACTTTAGGAACTTCTTCCACTTGTAAGGCTCTGTAGATTTTATATCTTCCTAAATCATACCTCTAGCCATAATCTTTTCACTCTCCTATGTACCTCTAGATCATTGAAACTTTGATAAAATTAAAAATAGTTACCAGCATTTGTTCACTTAAATACTTAATGAATACGTATGTTCCTAGCACTGTGGAGGCATGTGGCTACAGGGGGAACATCTGGCAAGGGGGACAAAACCTTCAAAAACAACCATGAAAGAACTGTGTGCTTTTAAAGCATTTTTGTGTGGTGATGAGGATGGAACCCAGGGCTTTGCACATACTGGGCAAGCACTGTAGCCTCTGGGAACACTCTGCATCCCACAGACTGCAATCTTCTATTGGGTTATGCCAGTTCTTGATGATGTCTTTCCCATAATTCCTGCAGTCATTAGTTCAGTATCCTCAGATGGTTGTATTTATATTTTTCTTGTAGGAAAATGACTTGGAACCAATGCAGAAACAAATATAATTATCAACAAACACCAACATGCCCATTATGTCATGATGTCTAATTAAATTCTTGAAATTTTAGACCCTTTATATAGTTTGCTAGGGTCTTCCTTTCAGACCTTTATCTTGTTAAAACTGACTGCAGTTCTGCATAATGCTTTCCTCTTAGGAAGGCTGTACTAACTTACTTGCTCACACCCTTATCCACCTCTTTACTCATTACTTCCTAGCAGTTACTTTGGAGATTATTCCCTTTTCTTTAAACAGGAGGATTGGAAGGTAATGTCATAACAGGAAAATGATATCTAGGCTCCACCCAGTGGCCCTCTTCAAGGAGCATTTGGAAACACTTAAGTGATGGGCAACAAATTTGGACAGAACTTTACTATCTAGATGTTGTGGGTAACAAAATCTGTACGTAGAAAATGTAGAAGGGTCAGCATTTAGTCATAGGGGAGTTTGAGGGATTTTAAGACCCAACCTAATGACTCAAAAGGAACTTGGAAGATTTCTCTGCTCTTCATCAGCGTGGTGTAGTCTTGCTTCCCAGTTTTTCAAAATCCCCATTCCATGGAAGTTGACTGACCAAATGGCAGAAAAAATATCCTAGTTGTCCAGTCCTAGCCTACTCCTAAAAATTAAGTGGTGGGTACATATATGCTGTTAATATACTGAAAGCAAAAGCACTGTAAATATTGTGATCTGTCCATATTGCCATAGGTATCCATTACTGTGGGCAGAGTATTGGGTATGGAGCCCTTTCCTTAAATCACAGTGATAAACTCCTTTATAGTGTGTTACAGTTTTTATTTTGTTTTCCAGCTATTTCCTAGGGAAATTAAAGTACAAAAACAGCTTTTTGATATTTTGAACTTGATATCTAGTCAGCCTCCCCATTTATAAAAAGAACTCCCATTCATTGAACTCCTACTGTGTGCTAGGCACATGCTTTATATTGACTTTGACATTCAAAATAACTCTTTGAGTGGGGCTGTGGCTGTGGCTCAGTGGTAGGGCGCCCGCCGAGCACGTGTGAGGCCCTGGGTTCGATCCTCAGCACCACATAAAAATAAATAAAGATATTGTGTCCATCTACAACTAAAAAAATGTTTAAAAAAAATAACCCTTAGTTCGTTAGTAGTATCCCTGTTTGACCAGTGGGAAAATTGATGCCTTATAAAGATTGATACTTATAAAGCTGGGTTGTGACGAAGCAAGTACTGGAACTAAGAATTGACCTTTCTGTCTCCCCCCACCCTTAATCTCAAGTACGCATTAAGTTTTATAGAGGTAGAGACAAAGCATTTTCTTAGGTTAAACTTGTGGGGAGAAGACAAAACTGAAAAAACCCAAAAGGTTCGTGTCTTTTAAATTTAATTTTCTCTTGTATGCTTCTGTTGCCCCTGACCTTTGCATTGTACAATATTTTAACACATTTTGTAATTGATATATGTGTGGTTCTTTGTATGTACAAAAACTTAGTAGTTTTTTAGAGAAAAAGAATTTAAAAAGTTCAAGTAGGGTGGGATTGTAGCTCAACAGTAAAACACTTGCCTAGCTTGAGGCTCTGGGTTTGATCCCCAGCACTGCATAAAAAATACTCTAAAAAAATATTTTTAAAAGCTCAAGTATATATATAGCTTGGTGGATTTGATTGTCCCCTCAGCAAACCTGAATATTCAATTCCCTCCTCAGGATGCAGACACTAAATGAGAGCATAGTGATTCAGTACTAGAGTGCTAGCCTGGTGTGCTCTAGCCTGGGTTTGATGCCCAGCACTGGGGGAATAAAGAACATGTGATCTTTCATTTCTTTTTAGTGTAAACAGTGTCACTTGGTGCCCAAGAGGACCACTACGTTATATTTTAGGTGAGCTATTTCTAGATAAAGAGAGTTTTAAAGCGTTTACCTGAACCTCTGAAAGTTGATTATAATTGGATACATTATCAAAACCCAAACTTAAATTCCAGCCATTCAGGGAGGGAAACTTTCTGAGGGAGACCCCTGTTTTCACCATGAAAAATGAAAACAACCTACAAAGTAATATATAAATAAATATTGCCTAGCACGTGCAAGGGCCTGGGTTCAATCCTCAGCACCACATAAAAATAAATAAATAAAGCCATTGTGTTCAACTACAACTAAATAAATATTTTATAAATAATTTTTAATATTTATTTTTTAGTTTAGGTGGACACAATATATTTATTTATTTATTTTTAAATTTTTATGTGGTGTTGAGGATCGAACCCAGTGCCCTGCACGTGCCAGGCGAGCATGGCTACCGCTTGAGCCACATCCCCAGCCCTAAATAAATATTTTTTAAAAATAAAATAAATAGTATATTTTAAGTTAAATATTATAAATTAAATACATAACTGTTCCATTCTAACAGCATTTGTAAAGTGCTTACTAAGTGCTAAAGTACTGGTCAAAGTACTTCTCAGGTTTTTTTTTCTTTTTTTAGTTATACATGAACACAATATCTTTATTTTGTTTATTTTTATGTGGTGTTGAGGATTGAACCCAGGGTCTCAAATGTGAGAGGTGAGTGCTCTACGGCTGAACCACAACCCCAGACCTCAGGCCCTCAGGTGTTCTTTTTTGATCTTTGCAACTTTCGTTTACAGATCAGGATACTAGGATGCAGGGAAGTCTATTTAACTTCCCTTTTCCCCTAAGTTTATATCACCAGTAGTTAGCAGTTGAGCCATGATTTAGATACTAAATAACAGGTCTATTTAAAAAAAAAAAAAAGGAGTCCCAGAGTATTGTAGATAAAGGGCTTATACTTTGTTGCTTTTGGTATTCTCTATCTCCCTTTCTTCTCAACTGCTTTTATTCCTTTTTAAAGGATTTTTACATTCTTAGCAGAAAACTCTGAAAGTAAGTTTAGACATTTTATGAGGCATGTCAGAATAAGTATATTTCTTTGGCCTATGCCTTGTTTTAGAAACTTTTCATTTTGAACTATGTTATTTATAGGAAGGGCTATTAGTGTTCTCTCTGCCCATTTGTGATAAATTTTAGATTTCTAAATTTTGTCATGTTATAAAGGTTTAGTAAGTAATAAGTTGATTTTGTATGTCTCAAGGGTTTCTCAAATAGACACATATTTGAGTTTATTTTATTCTTGCTTTTTTCTTTCTTTCTTTCTTTTTAATTCCCCCAGTGATTCTGTTTGCAGTATTAACTGAAATTTCTTATGCTGACGCTAATTGTGATCTTTTTTTCCACTAGCATGTATTGGCGAACTCAGACTTGAAGAAGGACATAGGTAAAAAGTACAAAACAGAACATTTTCTAACATTAGGATTGTGACATTTCCTATTGTTTAGTTGAATACTTGCCACATTCTTTCTAAAATTTATTTATAAAACAATTTAAGTAGTTTAGTTTAAGCCAAAACAATTATAGATATTTCATTTCTCTTATTTTTAGAAACATAACATCAGTTCTCAATCCCTAAGGTCTCATGTTACCTTAGGACATGCTTAAGACTTAAAAGTATTTCCTCTCTATGTGAAATTTTATGCAGATTTGAATTATTTAATAAAAAAGTGAATAGCAGGTAAAACATGCTGCATCCAGGAATGCTTTCTTAACTTCCCTAGAACCCTCATTAGTTTTAAACCTACATCACATCTCACATATCTGAGGCAGGTGTGCCACTGTGAAACTACATGTCCTTGTAAATTCTTTTCAATGACTAGGAGTTGCAGAAGACCAAAAAACCTTAGGAGTGACTTACTCCTTCATCATCTTCACAAAAACAGCTTTAAAACAAACAAAAAAACAGTAAAAGAGATTGATGATGTGACTTGTGGTAAAGCACTTGCCTGGCATGCATGAGGCACTGGTTTCAGAAAAGAAACATTAAGATAGGCCTCACATCTTAAAATGATAAGCTAAATTTAGTAACATGAAAAATGTTGATGATGCACGCCTGTAATCCCAGCAACTCAGGAGGCTGAGGCAGGAGGATCAGAAGTTGAAGCCAGCCTTAGCAACTTAGTAAGACCTTGTCTCAAAGTAAATAAATAAATAAAAAGGACTAGTGGTGTAGCTCAGTGGCAAAAGCATCTCTTTCAGTGGCAAAATCATCTCTGGGTTCAATCCCTAGTGCCAAAAAAAAAAAAAAAGGTTGACATGTCAACAAATTATTCTGTCAAACGATTATTCTTTGAAAACAAGGTGTCTTCCATGGTATTTACTTTGGAATTACTTGAAGTTTGCTTAAACTCCATTCACTTTGAGTAGAATTGCCTCATTAGTGATTGAAAGTACTAGTACTAGGTTTTTCTTTAGAATCTGAGAACACAAGCTTCTGCATAAGTGTGATATATATTCTCTCTTTTCTAATTTTGTCTTTTTTAAAAAATTTTTTTAAAGAGAGAGAGAGAGAGAATTTTTTAATATTTGTTATTTTAGTTTTCAGCAGACACAACATGTTTGTTTGTATGTGGTGCTGAGGATCGAACCCGGGCCGCATGCATGCCAGGCGAGCACGCTACCACTTGAGCCACATCCCCAGCCCTCTAATTTTGTCTTGATAATCAGATATTTAAGAGCAAGGCTATAATGGTAATCTAGGAACAGTTGAGAGTAAGAATATATCAGTATTTGATTGGGGGTTGTATTTGTTTTTTAGTGGTATTAGGAATTGAACCCAGGGGCACTCTACCACTAAGCTGCACCCCCCCTAACCCCTTTTTAAAAAAATTTTTTAGAAGTTGATGGATCTTTATTTTATTCATAAATTTACATGTGGTGCTGAGAATTGAACCCAGTGCCTCACACATGCTAGGCAAGTGTTCTACCACTGAGCCACCATCCCAGCCCCCTTTTTGTTTTAGTCAGGATCTCAGTAAGTTGCCCAGGCTGGCCTGGAATATGAATGCCTCCTGCCTCAGTCTCCCAGTAGCTGAAATTATAGGTGTGTATCACTGCACCCAACAAAAATATTCCACCTTGTACATCCTGTGTATAGTAACCCAAGTTGACAAGATAAAATCAAGTATTTCACCCAGGTTTCAGATGAAACCATTAGTCCATTTATCTTACTTTAAAAAAAAATATATTAATGGGAGAAAGGAGAAGGTGCTAATTTGAGACAATCAGAAATAAAGATGGTAAACATCATTTACATGATAAATATTGACAAGTTTTTATTTGTCAACTTAAAAAATAACTAATGAGGTTGGGGTGTAGCTCAGTGGCAGAGAACTAGACTAGCTTTTGTGAAGCCCTCTAGAAAGAGATGTTGTAAGGCATCTTTTAAATTAGTCTGTAAGTAATTGAGCATGGTGGCACATGCCTGTAATTCAGTTCCTTGGGAGGCTGAGGAAGGAAGCCAGCCCTGGCAACATAGTAAGACCCTGTCTCAAAATAATAAGGACTGGGGATGAACTCAGTGGGCGAACACTTGCCTAATACAGAGGCCATGGGGTCAATCTTCAGCTTTGCCAATAAACAAAGAAGTTAGTCTGTTAGATATTTAATGGATCTTCAGCAATTGACCTGTATCATAAAGAGAAACAATATAAATGACCTGAGCATGGTGGCACACACCTGTAATCCTAGCAATTTAGGCCCTTAGCAACCTAGTGAGACCCTGTCTCAAGTTACTTAAAAGTTCAGTTAGGTTGAAAAATAAGGGCTTGATTAATGGAACTGTATATGTAGTTCAGTTTTAGAGTGCTTAACATGTGTCAAGCCCCAGTTTCAGTCCCTAGAATGACAAAATTAAAAAGATAATGGTGATATTGCCCTTAGAAAGTGTAGGATTTTGACCTTTGTTCCAGGAGTCTGCAGCAGTTTCCACATCTCTCTACCCAAAGAGAGAGTGGGATTACCCTTCTTGAAAGTAACTTCCATTCACTTTGTCCCTGCCAGTGACCATCATTTCTAAGGTTTATTCTTAGGACCAAAAGTAAGCAAGGAGGACAGGTCACTCTGTAATTTCTGGATGATAATTTATGGGTAAGGAATAGTTCCTTTTTCTTTAGATCTGTTTATTATTTCAACAGTAATGTATTTCCCTTAATTTCCAGGAACATGATATGTCTTTTTAATTATTTACTTATCTAAAATTTTTGTCTTTTCTTTTTGCTACTGGGGATTGAACCCAAGGGGTCTTACTACTGAGTTACATCTCCAATCTGCTTTATTTTGAATTTTGAGACAGAGTCTTGCTAAGTTGCTCTGACTAGCCTCAAACTTGTGATCCTCCTGCCTCATTTTCTTACATCACTAGGCTTACAGGTGTATGCCACCACACCAAGTTGCAGTGTCTTTTTAAAGAAAGTGAGAAGAATGCCTTCAAATGTTAGGAGAAGGGAATTAAGCAGGGAAAACATTTTCTCAAAAAAAAAAAAAAAAAGAATGAGAACAAGGGACTGAGGATGCAGCTCAGTGGTAGAGCACTTGCTTAACATGCACAAGGCTCTGGGTTCCATCCACAGTACCAGTACCAGGGGCGGAGAAAATGAAAACAAAAAAGGTTGCAGAGAATGAAATGAGTGTCAGCATTGGGGACAGTATAGTTTGTAGTCTGATTGCTTCCTATGTGGATTATTAAAATTAATGGAAAATAAGTGTTTTGTTTCTTAATCATGCAGCTGGGAAAGAATAGGAAGCCAGCCTGGGGGCACAGATTTTCAGCAGATGCTCTGTATCCAGGCAGCAGAAATGATTCTTAGCATTGCTGGTATCCGAGTCTGAGAGCAAAAGCATCTCCAATAGGAGTCTGTGATTTTGAGTCTGATTACCTTCATCCTCATTAGGCTGCTGATAGGATAAGCTTTATAAAGAGAGTTTTGGTGGGTTTAGATTTTGGGGAAATTATGTTAAAAAAGACTGAAATTATGGTCAATATTCCTCCCCCCCCCCATTTGTTATTCTTCTGATACAGTTAACATTTCACAATAACAACACAATTATTTTTTCTTGGTATTGCAAATGAACCCATGGGTACTCTGCCACTGAGCCACAAGCTGGTCCCTTTTTTTTAAGACTGGATCTAAGTTGCTGAGGCTGGCCTTGAACTTGGACCTCAGTGCCTCAGCCTTTCAAGTCACTAGGAATACTGGTATGCACCACCACACCCAGCTATTCACAGCTAAAATATTCTTAACAGATACTCTGAAGATGCCCTTCATGAACTGAAACTGCCAAAATCACCATTTTCTAGGGCACATTTCACATTTGACCATTTATTTGCTCTCTTCAGACCATCCTCACGTTGAGAGAGATTGCCCTTTTTTTTTTTTTTTTTTTTAAAGTCAGTAGTCATTTTACCTCATTATTAACAAGGATCAGCCTGCAGGTTCAGTTTTCCTCTGAGTTTAGAACTGAGTAAGTCCAGGGACAAAACCAGCAGTTGTACCCCAAATATATCTGAGTCTAGTTTGTTTTTTTCAAAAGACAGATTATTAAGCCCACCTCAGGAAGCACTGAATACTGTGTTAATATAATAGTGCTGCTCATGTTGGAAATTAAAATTTTGAAGAACTTTATAATAAACACTTGAAAAGGTAGCTGGGGGCTGGGGATGTTACCTCAGTGGTAATATCCTTGCCTGGCTTATATAAGGCCCTGAGTTCATGCCCCATACTGCATTAAAACAAACAAACAAAAAAGAAAATATATCTGGATTTGTTACAGCCAAGTGAGAAATATGGCTATTAGTGTAAGGACATAGCTTGCATGGTTCTTAATTACTTACCATTAGAGAAGAGCACAAATATGAAAAACTCAAAGGCAAGAGTTTATATGTACCTTTGTGTGAGGGATGGCTGATATCCTTGAAATTCACTTCGAGTAGATAGTGGCAATACCTGTGAAAACTTAGTGCTAGGACTTCTACTTTTTCTCAGGTCCAGTGGACAACTTCTTATCAACCAAGCATGAAGAAAAACAACAAAAAAACCCTTTTGTCCTGATCTTGAGGATGATTCTTCAACCCAGGCACAGGTATAATGGTTACATTTCTCAGAGGTTCTTCTCTGTTTTGAGCCTATAGGGGCATCTGAGATGTCAGTGAAGCTATGATGAAGTGTATTAGATATGGGAAGTTGAAACACCAAGAGAGTGTTTAGTAACATAGGTCTTAACACTGACCTTGATGAAAAAATTAACCCTGGAAATTCATAATGCAAGACTAAAGATGTGATTGGTTTTAAAAATAGCCTTGAAATTCAAGTTATTGACTTTTGTAACAGCAAAATTTCACCAGTCAAGATACATAAGAGCGAAATTCTGTGCTTGACAACTGGCAACTCTCTTCATTTAGCAAGCCTAATCCAGGGTGTATCTCAACCCTGCAACAAACTATTTTATTTTTTCCTCTTTCCAGATACCAATTTTAACACCTATGCTTTGTCCATCCCCCTACCCCACAAGCTTTGAGCAGTCTTTTTTGCTTTGAAAGAAAACTCACGTGTACATTTTTGTCTTCCCCTTAATTTTTTTTTTGGGGGGGGGTACCAGGGATTGAACGGAGGGGCACTTAATCACTGAGCCACATCCCCATCCTTTTTTGTATTTTGTTTAGAGTTAGGGCCTCACTAAGTTGCTGAGGCTGGCTTTGAACTTGAGATCCGCCTGCTTCAGCTTCCCAAGCTGCTGGGATTATAGGTATGCACCACTGCACCCAGCAAATATTTCTTTTTAACTATAAACCAAGAAACTTTGAAGCTCAGCATTCATACAGTTTGTTCTTAAACTTTCTTATTCTGTTTCTTACTATTTTTTTCTGAGGTCTTTCTAAATGTGATTCCATTTATTTTCTTTTTTGAAGGATTTTTTTTATATATATAAAGTGGAGTGTAGGTAATAAGAATCACTCTTGTCCTTTTCTGTTAAAATCTGGTATCCAGGAGCAATGTCTGATTTTCATTGATGAGTTTTTGTCTGGGATAAAAGACCTGTTGAGTCCAGTGTTGATTAACTTGGCAGTGTAAGTAAAGTCACATCCTGCTTAGTGAATAACTAGCCATTATGTTTTATATTCCTTACGCTTCTGGAATGCCAGCCTGGAAACAAACTGGAGAGGAAGGAGAATACTTTGAATGACAGACATTTGAGAGTTTTTGTTTTTTGTGGAAACAAAACTTAGGATCAAATGTCTTCATACTAGTTTTCTTTTTTCATTGCTTCTGATCATTTTGTTTATTATTTAAAATCAGCATTCTGCCTCAGGGTGTTTTTATATACTCTAACTTTTGTTTTGCCTTTCTAGCTGCTAAGGTAGATAATGATTATTGAAAGTGCACATTTTTAAATGATCTCCAGTGTGGATTGCTTCTGAGTCCCTGATGGAATGAGTTCCTAGAGGAGGAATCAGTCATTTGGAATCCAGGACCATTCAGCAAGGATAACTGCCTGCTCATATGGTCAGAATGCTCAGACTCTGGCACACCAACGGCTTTCTCCTTCATTTTCTAAGAAGCGAGTCTTGTCAGGCCCAGTGTTGCCATCTAGCTATTCTCATTTCATTCCCAAAGTAGTGATTCCACCACTTTGAATGTCAAAGGGAGTTGAAGTGTCAGTGAGTCAGTGTAACAAATCTGTTAAGGAAGCAAATAAAAAGAATTTGGTTTGCTAACTGCCTGAAGTTTAGAAAGTTCTGGTTTTCACTTTACAATTTGCAAAGCATAAAGCCATTTCCTTGTTAAATTCAGATGAATTCTTCAGTATTTCTTCTCTTAATGAATTCATTTTGATGCTTATTTCCTATAACCAAGAAGGCAGTAGAACAGAAATAAGTCTTTTAAGTTTGAAGCTTGTGCTAATAATCAGATAAAGTTCACTTTCTTCTGGTTTAAGTGATATATAAATAAAATATCCATTTTAAATTAGATTGGCAACTTAAAAAATCACTTAGAACAATTTGTTAGTATTTTTGGTTCCCTTTGATAGAATTGTTTTTCCTTTACACGTTTTTACTGCAAAATGAAGGATAGACTTGAACTAAATTGGTCAACTTGTATTTGATCTTCACGGGAATTACATCTCTTTTCACTCAACATTTATTAAAGAAGTATGAAAACCAGTTGTGGTGGCATGCGCCTGTAGACCCAGCTACTTAGTCCTAGACAGGAGGATCACTTGAGCCCAAGAGTTCAAGGCTAGCCTGGGCAATATAGTGAGATCCCGTCTTAGAAAGGAACACAGAAAATTCCAGTCTATAGCAAGTTCTTGGCTTGACTAAGAGCTGATTTTCATTAAGGAACAGAACTTGTAATTCATTTCCACACGTTAAGATACAGTTTATCCCTATTAAAATTTGTTTATTCTGAAACTACACCCTTGTCATCTAATGTTATGTCATTCCTAGTTTACTGTGTCTCACCTTCAAGATTTCGTGCCTGCTGCTGAAATGGAAACCAGCCAGTGCAGAAAACTGGGGGAAAATGACATGTGAAGAATGCAAGGGGAAATGGGAACTCATTTCTAGCATTTTCAAATCAGCTTTGTCTACTCCACTACAGTCAGAGGAAAAGAACTGACTTCATGGAATTTACCAGCTAAGCCTTACCACTGTTGTTAGTGTTTTTAGGAAATATACTAAAAGGTAAGTGAATTGTATGTTTTGAAGAATGATTGCTAGGTATTGTAAAACCAGTTGTTCCATTTTAGTAAAGATCAGCAGCTCCTTTATTCTAAACCTCAAATTCTTGCCCATATTTGGTATGTTAACAGTATTGTGGAGAAGGTGAACTTATGCAACATGGACCTTTTTCTCCACTCTCAGCAACTAAGCTGGAACTTAGGTTGAAGTATACATGGTGCTGATTTTTGCTGTTTTGTTGTGCTTAAATTTTTTTTAAATTATTTCAGTTGAGTTTTAGTTTTATCCCTCATTATATAGAAAAAAGCTTTAATGTTTCAAAGGTCCTATCAAGCATTGTATATACATTAGCTTTTGACAAATAAGAGCAACATTAAGGATTTTTATTAACATCCACCAATATATGGTTTTAATAAATAATTTTAAATTACCTGAAATAAATTATTCCACATTTATTATATACCTATGTATGCCAGGCCCTGAATACAAAGATGAACTAATATACCCAATTCATATCCTCACGGAGTTCATTTTTACTGATACACTACAGATAGAAGTTTAGTTTGAGGAATCAAAATCTGATAAAATGAGGCTAATTCCATATTCTCATCAACAATCCACTCTAATAACTAGTATGTTAATCTGAATGTGACATATTCTATAAGAAAACCTCCATTTGTGTGTACATGTGAGCTGAACATTTACCAATACTTTGTATGTGTGGGTACATCACAGGTTTAATCCTCACATCTGTGCTATGAGATAGGTGTTATTTTCTCAGGCAAGCATAAAAGCTAACTAACTTGGCCTAAGTTTGCATAACTGATGAGGACTGATACTTAAACACAGGCAGACTGATAGCAGAACATGTACTCCTAAGTTAGATGTGATATTTATATGCAGTTCCTGGCTATAAAACATTCACAGTTCTTAATAAAATATGCCTCCTTTTAAAAAAGGAAATCACAAATAGCTTAGAAAAATAGAAATATAATAGAATCTGGGGTTTTAGAGAGCCAGAAAATCACAAACTTTTTCTTCCCCAATTCAAAGATAGTTTGTATGCTGACCTTACCTCTTTGCCCCAGACACAAAATTCAGTGGAACAGAAGGAGGATATTTATATTCATGTAATATAAATATAATATTATATAAAATACATTTACACATATAAACTTACAAAACATATTAATATAATTAGACAAATATTTATATAATTTAAATATTATATAATAATATTGCATTTAGGATCTTGTCCTTCAGGTCCACCCTCTTTTTTGGAATTTAGACATTTTCTTTAAGTGATAAATTATGAAAAAATACCACTGCTGAGACTTTCCTTAGGACTCTTTTTAAAAAATAGGTTAAGAATTTTTGTGCAAAAGTGAAGAAAAACTTCTGAGAAACCCAGGTAGGTAATTTATCCCCTGTTGTATGCAAAGCCTCTGCACTTCTGTCCTTTATTGTTTTATACTTCTGTAAATCTGATTTTACCTTTAATAAACTGGTTTCTAAAGTGAGTAGGTTCTTTGGTCTCATTTCCCATTAGATTCTGTGTGTTTGTTCACTTTGTGTATGTTATCGCCACTCCCTTCAACACTGGTGGGAAGAGAATGCTCCTCTTAGGAACCTAGTACAGTTGGGGGGTTTAAAGACAGGACCTCAGAGCCTTGCCTCAGCTCAGTGCAGGCTCTACCAAGTACTAAGACTTTGCAGGGAAAGCCAGAAACTGTAAAGTCACTGAACAGTGTTTATCTCAAGCAATTGTGACGGGGAAAATACTACCTTAGTGAAATCAAGCTGGCTATTCTGAAAGTAATGAAAGTGACTGGAGAGGCAATTTTGACCATATTTCTTTTTGATTACTGCTTCTCCAAACATCAGTGTTTTGTGAATTGCCTGGGAATCTTGTTAAAATGCAGTTTTGATTCAGGAGGTCTGAGGTCAACCTGATAATTTGAATATTCTTTTGCATTTAAAATAATAAAGAGTTTTATTGATACATAATTGGTACCATAAAATTCATTCGTCAGGGGCTAGGGTTGTGGGTCGTGGTAGAGTGCTCACCTATCATGGGCGAGGCTCTGGGTTTGATCCTCAGCACCACATAAAAATAAATAAACTAATTAAAGATATTGTATGCAACTACAATTAAAAAATAAACGTTTTTTTTTTTAATTCACTCTTTAGGGTTGGGGTTGTGGCTCAGCGGTAACGTGCTTGCCTAGCATGCGTGAGGCACTGGGTTTGATTCTCAGTACCACGTACAAATAAGTGAAAATAGAAGTCCATCAACAAGTAAAAAATATTTTTTTAAAAAGATAAATTTTAAAAATTCACTCTTTTTAAAAGTATATGACTGGGCTGGGGATGTGGCTCAAGCGGTAGCGCGCTCACCTGAC